TCAATAGCAAACACGTTTTTTACCTTCCTCTTCTGCGTGACAACAATTAGAACAAAACCGTTTTCACCTCATTGTCAAAGGAAAAAAAATGAACCTCGTTTAACGTTTCCCTCATTATTCTTTGGAATAATTGCGGAATCTGAAACGAAAATAATTAAACTTTTTCAAATGAAAGGTTACGTGTAGGATTTCCCCCTTTCTTTTTTGCCGCCATTATTTTGCAGCAGGAAGCTGTACGTTATTTGAAATTCTGTTGTAAGCTTTAGGTAGGGCTAGCTTGTGTTTGGAAAACCCCACTGAGAATTGAAATTAAATGTTCGCCGTTTTCAGCTGAAAACATGACATAAACGTTTTGTTAAAAAAAACCGCAACTTCCACCAAAAATACTACGCGCTTTAACTATCCTAGCATTTTTGAATTCATTATCATTGGACAATCGGACACGAACGTTCAAAAGAGACTCGTGACGGAAATCGTAAACAAGACGAAGTGGAATTGGATTGATCGGTAAATTCAATTTTCAAACTTTACGCTCCAAAAAATAGATTAATTTCGTTCAGGCGTTCAAGTTATGTACCATGAAAGCGTGAAAAATTAATTTAAAAACTAAGACGTAAGAATCTAATAGCTGCTCCGAGTTCACGAAAGCGTCCAAGATCTTCGATTATAACTCATTTGCTACCTACTGCGTAAATAAACGACGTAACTGCATTAATAAACCATCCGATAACAAGCAAAGTTTAGGGAGCAGCTTTAATTTTTATTTGGTATGTTGATCCCTCGTCTGTTTAATTCCAATTAAAAATTGTTTATTTGAATAAGCTAAGAACTGATCTCAATTTAAGCTCATCATAGCTGATACTGACGATATAAAATGTGTCATCTGCTAGTAGTTGAAATAGAAATGATATAGTGTAGAACCAAGAAGAATGCGTATTAGCGAGTTGTAACGGGAGCCCGTTTAAATGGTTCAATTGGGGCCAATGTCGTGGAACAACTACCATCAACCGTCATTACAGTCAAAAGATATGCACATGGGAGCAGTCATATTAGGAGAGGGCGCAGGGTAGAATTTAGACCGAAAGAAGAGTTCATTTTACGTGGCGTTTTTCTTTTACCGCATCCAGAACACATTTTTTTAAATGATGGACACCTTGGTGAAAAATAATTACCTTCTCTTGAAAACAAAAACCGATACTCCCCTTCGAAACCCGCTTAAACAAGTTAGCTTGTTTTTGCGTATTGCGATTTTAAACGTTCGAGATCTAGGATAGTTTACAATTACGGAAATACCGCATCCAGAGAATGTGAGGACGCATTGGCAAGGAACAAACCTGTCTAGTGATGGGCCTACGTTATAGTGTGAAACGATGTGCTCGAGGATGTGTATGTCGGTCGGAGGAACCGACATAATTAGCACACAAGAAATGGGGGAAACGTGAAAAACATTTATAATTCGAAATACAAACAATAATTGTCCTCTCATTACCGCGAGAATAGCTCTAGGGACTTCATTGATAAAAGGAAGGAAAACCTTCCAGGAAATGTAATCGCTTACTTTCTTATTATCTGGTACACTCTGTATTTTAATTTGTACATTGAGATTTATTGATACGCATCGACGATCATAAATCTCATCCGGTAGGTATATGTGAAAGGCTGATACATATTTCACGAGTCAGGAGCCGATGTATTTTTGCATCAAAATTGAATTATTTCGGATACGAAATTAATTTCCTATCCAAAACATTTGGCACACGTATCGTAATATATCATCGATAATTACTATTCGATAAGCTGGATTTGAAATATTAAATTTGTAAGACTAATTGCCGTACGATTGTTGGTCAATTCGGGTGAAAAATTGTATAAAAGTTAAACGTGCAAATGCGAGATAATTTCAGTTAACGTTCTTTTACAGGATTTTTTCTGCTTTATTTTCTCGGGCTACTTGAATTGATAAAATTGAAATCGTATAGTTCAACTGGTGTCCGAATGTCGAACTCGATTTCAACTGTAACTAAAATTCCCGCATTGTGCTAGATTTGAAATTTTTGTCCATGAAATGTTTTACTTCTTTTCTACCTATCATAGAATACTTCAACTTACTCTTTAAATATTTCCATTTCTTAACCTACCCTTCCCTTCTCTTGCAAGAATTTTCTGCTGTAAAAATATGATTTGGTACGTAAACTGCAGTAAACCGAAGCAAAAGAGCTATGGTGGAGAACGATTTGCATTTATCATTTCCTCTAGAAACGCTTCGTCGGATGGTTTCGTCTATTTGTTAGAGTACAATTCCCATCACAGGGTTGAAACCTTCAAACGTGTTCTTTCACAACTAAATTGATACGAGTTTTCCGTTACCTACCTAATTAATTATAGAACAATTTGGAGTACTTTTCCGACAACTTGACGGTTAATAAGGAAGGAGATCATTATTACCCAATGTGAAATCTAACTCGATTTTGATTTCTGTTGGCGTTATCCCTTTAAAAATGTTTTATAGCCGATCCAACACAATTTCGTTATGGTACTTGAATTCGAGATCAATGTTATTGTGTATCACAATTATTAGATGCTTAGTTTTGTTTAAATAATCGCCTTGTATTTTGATGTTTACTGTTCAGTGAAATTACGTGTAAAAAATTAGGAAATAATTGCGTTGTGTTATTGTAAAGATTTATCTCAGGTCTTGCGATAAGGAATTCGTTATCGCTGTGTAAAAGCTAATTAACTTCTAGATGTCGAAAGGAAGGACAGATTTGAGTTTATCGAAGACGCGAAATAATTGATACAAATGAGGACGCCGGTGATTTTTTTTTTCGAAGTTTTGATTGGTGGATGTTGACAAAATGATAAAGGTGGATTGAAAAAGTCGAAGAAAGGGAAAGTCGTTAAATAAACGAATTAGACGAAAAACAGAGCTGTTTTGGTGTTTGGCATTCAGCGTTAATGATTTTTTTAAAGACAGTCAGTCTTGGTGTTCGTAAAGTTTTTTATAATAGAAAGTTTTAGATAGTGCTTTAAGAGGTTTTATTATGTCGTTATTAGAGGGAATGTTATAATTCGAGTTAAGTCTGGAGTGAACGAACGGGAGAATGCAATTACCTAGGCACTACTGCTTGCTCATGTTGATAAAACTCCTTTTTACGTTTGATGAGTAACCCGTCGAGTATACTCTCGTTAATACTCTCCTCCATAAGGCGTATGAAAGATACGGCATCCGTTCACCCAGATTCACTGGAATTTGGGTAGCTCATGCACCAAACTTTCCGGGGATACTTAGCTTTGCGATTTAAAGGGCGGTCGATGCTAAATCAATAGTTAATAAAGAAGAGGGGGTACTACCAGTAATTCGAAAAATGTCAAGGAGTCGCCAGTTTTAGGCATTCTATTTACTCGTCGACTTTGTTACTCTTTGAATTTGCTAACAAAATATGGAAGCAACATTGCCCTACATTTTAACTCCCCTCGTTACGTAGCTACTGATGTTCAAAATAACACATTTCACGCGCGAAAAAATGCAGTGGTTATTAAAAATGAATTCGATTTACGATGTAACGTTTTAAACAACGGGGTTGTCGTTGCGTAAGGGAAGCTAAAATTAACATTTGGGGATGCTCGTTATCGACAAGGTATACAGCTGTTACACCGTTCGTGCTTACGTGCGGGGGTTGCTTATTTGATAAGTTGGAGACTTGTTTAACTTAGCTAAACTTGCATATAATTAAATGTATAATCTGAAAACAGTATGTCTTAATCGCACACTATTCGGCATTTGGAACTTTCCTTTGTTTCTACCTTCACTGTATTTAGAATTGGCACCTCCACTTAGAAGTGAACGATACGAATTATAATTCTGAAAGCGCATACTTCTATTACGGTTTCAGAGAAGTAAGAAAAATTGCGCTACCACTGAAAAATTAACAAAGGCTAGTCTTACCTCTAGAATTAATACAAAGGACTTGATTTTGATCGACCGAAAAATGAATATTTCTGAGAGATTATTATAAGTCATAATAATGTATTTATGCTACTACAATTTGACTTTGCACATGAACATGAATTTATGGGTATTAAAAGTGTTGTTTAAGTGTTTTCTTGTTTTTAAAGTTTTTAGCGCATGTTTGGTTCTCAAAAACGAACTTTTACTAATTGTCGACAATTCGGTCGATTCGATCGATATCTGGTAGAACGTTCGGGTTTTCGTTATTATATTCGTACTATCGTGTTATTCCCGCATCGCTTCATCTGAAAGCTGAGAGCCATTCCTGAAGTTGACTTTGAATTTATGAATCGATCGAAATGTGGGTAATGGAATGTCGTAGAACCTTTGGCGTTGCGGCATTAGATATGTACAATCGAGTTATTTTTGCGTCCCTTAACCTGAAAACTACTGATCTGTCACATCAAAAATACGCTTAAGTCTAGTGACGGTAGGTCAGAGACTTTTTTAACTTGTTTAATACTACAGAGCAATAATTTACACCGCTCTTATGAAACATCACATTTGCCGCAACACAAATGATACTGTAGCTATACTAAACATAACCTTAAAATGTATATTAAAAGCAATCATGTTGTTTAAAATTTAACTTTCACTTTTATTGTTACTGCATTCCAAGCAGACTATATTGTTTAAACGTAACCTTAAGTTCTATTGTTTGCATCCCAAGCCAGTAACCAGTTTCAGGTGGACAGGAATTTGTATGATTCATGTATTTTTGTAATATAGCAGTCATTAGCAAGTTGACTTGCAAGCGATACAGTCCATTGCATTAAACGGAATTATTAATATTAATATTCTTGAACCAGTCTTTTTGTAACACATGTAAATAACATGTATTAGTTTCCAAATTGTTTGAAATTACATAGCAAACATTATTTTGTAACTGAAACGTGATTTACTTTCTTCTACAGATTGAATATTGAGCGAATTACAATACATGTTCGAAGTGGTCACCCCCGTTAAAGAGACACAAATCCATTCTCTTCTTCTAGTTTTTGAAAAATGGATGAAGTTGCTGTTGTGTTATGTTCTGAACAGTCGCTTCCACCTTCCATAGCTGCACGTAATTCTTGCAATTCGCCGTCGTGAAGTTGACCAATAAACCCTTATAACATTGCCCGGTAACGTTCGGGATTAACAGTATTGTCACAGAATATCGGCCCGACATCGCTAACCGCACGCCTACTTTCACAGGATGCAGCAGGGCTTCCTGATAAACATACGGGATTTCAGTACTCTAAGTTCAGTAGTTTTGGAAATGAGAGACCAAGCCTCATCCGAGAAATAACTTGTATCTAACTAGCTGTCGTTTCGCAGAGTTTCATTAGACCAATTGCAATAATTGACACGTTTTTCAAAGTCGGGACGACGACGTTCTTGTAGCACGGTTACTTTGTTCGGGTAGAAATGCTACTTTTTAATCGTTATTTACTGACAGGTTCCGTATGACAATGGGCGACCAGGGGATTGTCCACAAGCAACACTTCCTGTATCGTTAAATCGCTTAACTACACGTTCAGGATATGCTTCTCGAAATTACTACATGCACAGGCGAGTCGACTACGTCCAAACTCCGTCCCCGTCTTTACTTCCATTACGGAAATAGGACCGCAAAATCAGCTTATTTTCTTCCAAAGTAAAAGGCATGTCGCAGTTGCAGAATATTACAATCTAAAACGATAAAACATAAATTTCTGATTTAAAATGTAATTTAGCCACCTTGTTTTACCAAATTGGTAGCCTTGACAAAGAATGTCTTGTAAAACGGAAAGATAATGTGAACAAATGGTTGTGGAAATAAATGGATCAAACAGGAGGTGACAGGAGGATTAGATTTAGAGGTTATGTACACAGAATACGGCCTTCTCAGAATAGAAACAGCAATGTTACAAATTTGTATGGTATTTTGGCGGACCCTGGTGGGTGTACTGTGAACTAAAGCATCAAAATCAGAGCAGCGCCATCTGGTGACCAGCCATGAAATAATTTCCCCAATTCGATCCAATTCATAAATATCGATAAAAAATACACAGTTGTTAAATTAAAGTGTATTTAGATACAATCACATTACATTATTTAACACATCAGAGAACTTAAATTACATGTTTACAAATTACATATAAAACTCAGAAGTGAGTGGAACTTACGCTTTGTAGATGTTAACACTATGCAGAAAGATCCTTACATAACGATTTGTCGTACGAAATATTTGGTTTTAATTGCTGTTTAGACTACATATTTTTGTTAAAAAAT